GTTCATTACCAGGACACTTCTGTGGCTGAGTCATGTACCTGTGGTCAAAACTTCCCCTTATATTCTATTTTCGGCTCTCCAAATACTGGAGGTTTTCTGTTGGGCCATTTATCTGTGCAAAGTTTATCTGTTCAAAGTGCATAGGCCTCAAGCCTTATGCTAACTTGCTGATGCTAATGTCTTACAGGATACAGGCCTGTAGGTTTCTTGCATTACTGCTGAATATAATGCAAAGCAGAATATAATGCAAAGCAGTGAATACTAATAAAGGCAAGCTAGCCCACTGGGCTACAGGACCCAATCCTGCAAGCTGCTTTACGCAGGCAGATCTGAGTATGTGTGGAGTCCCCAATAAAGGAAAAGAGTCTGTGTTTTAAAGGTGGGAAAAGTGCATATACCCTGAAATTTTAAACCTTTTGTTTTCTTAATCAGGTGAATCTGAAAGTTAAACATGTGGAATATGACACATTTTATATCCCAGAGATTTCCAATTTGGTGGACATTCAAGAAGACTATCTTATGTGGTTCTTGCATCAAGCAGGAATGGTAAGGGGTTTTAATGAGTTATGAAATTGCTGTCCGTCTTCGCCTCTTCAGTGCTATTTATAAATTTCAGTATCCCTAGTAATAATGATTGATTGCTGGTGTAATATATTGAATACAGGAGCATATGTGGGTAAGCCGTCTTTGATTTGGGTACTTACTAGCTCGATGACGATAACTTAAAACAATGCCATCAGAAGAATAAAGCTATCAAATATATATATTTAATGTCTCCTAAATGATCTCTAAAATTCACTAATGTGGTGTTATGCCTTCAGCTTAATTCAATCACTGTTTAACTTGATCCTCTTAATTTAATCAGAACCTCAGGAACCAAATCATGTATAATAAAAATATAACTTCTACCCTTAACTTCCATGCAGTGTAGCAGTAGCCATGTCAGTGCAAGGATATTAGAGACACAAGGTGGATGAGGTAATATCTTTTATGGGACCAACTGCTGGTGGTGAGAGAAGAGCTCTGTTTGACTCAAAAAATTGTTTCTCTCACCAACAGAAGTTGGCCCCATAAAAGATATTACCTTATCCACCTTGTCATCCTTTACTTCTATCGTTAAAGAAGATATTATAGAATAAGATGATCACTGGCTATATAATCTGCTCCCTAGAAAGAAACATTGTCATCCCAATGAGCAGGGCACTGCACTGGGGCTCAGGAGATCAGGTTCTATTCCAGGGTCTTCTGGTAACCTCGTGGGTGATCTTGGGAAAGTTCCTTCATCATTTGGTGCCTAAGTTTCCCCATCTGCAAAAACAGAGGTAATGATACTTGCCTCCTTTGTAAAGCGCTTTGAAAGCTGTGAATGGCAAATGTGATATAGAAGCTAGGGATTGTTAGCATTAATAATGACTATGACCAAATTTCTGAATGAGGGAGAAGAAAAATATCAAGGGAGGCCACAATAATAAAAGATGGTTGTAACTAAAAGTTGTTTATCTACTTTTATGGACAGTAAAGACTGCAAAGTACGTGCAAGCTGTGACACCCCTTTTCAGTTGTATGATAATGGTTTATCAAACCTATGCTTGTTTTAGCCAAAGTGATGAGATGTGATCAGAGCAATGAGGCAGCTCTGTAATGGTGAAACTTAGTCAATTTATTGAAAAGCTGGTTAAAGGGATAAATGTGTTAAATGAAAATTGTAGCATTTGGTAATTGACTGAACTTAATGTTGTCACAGTTGTGGGCTTAAAATAGTATCTATTTGTTTGCGATAGTCCCACTAGCAAAGCTAGAGAGGAAGTAATAAGAAGTTAATAAGTAAATGTTGTTGATTTTTTGGGGTGAAATTCACCCCTGTGCATAGGGTCAGCTCAAGGCTTACGGACCACTTGGGCTTTAAGTGGGGTCTAGCTGGCATATAAGCCTTGACGCAGCCCTCTGCTCAGAGGAAGAAGCAGGGGGTTTCATCCCAAAAGATACGAGATTCAGAGGAGCTGGATCTCCACTGAACTAATCCGTCCAAAAAAGCAAGACCTGGAATATCGAACCAAAAGAATTAACCTTTTTTTCCTTCTCTCTTTCCACAGAAAGTAAGGCCATCTATCATGCAGGTAAAAAAAAAAAAAAATTGACTCTTCTCTTCACAAGTGCTTGTCCAAGTCGTAAACAGCAACTGAAATTTTCCTTTCTTCCTTCTAGGATGCTGTGACACTCTGTTCTTATCCTTTCATCTTCGATGCTCAAGCCAAGACCAAAATGTTACAGACAGATGCTGAACTGCAGATGCAGGTAGCCAGCTCTCCTCTCTTTCACTTTGCCTGTCCCTAGTCTTCTCTCCTGCCTTCCCCCACGTACTTAGGTGAAGTTTGCTAATCATTTATACATGGGCAGGATTTCATCGTTAATGTAGTTCTGTGACGTCTCGCGGCTGTTAACTATCTGAAGGGCCTCTTGCTACTGGATTCCACTGAGGCACCGCTAGAGTCCTTATTGTGCAGTAATCCTTTATGTAAATAGAGCTATTTCACTAGGAGAGGTTCACTGTGGTCAGAATTGTGATTTGCACCTTGGAATACATTCATAATGTGAGATTTTCATTCTGTTCCCCTAAGTGGGTGGCATCAAATATGGCTTCCGCCTAGAGATCCTGATGTTGAGTGGGTGATTCTCAAAAACTTAGTGCTGGGTTTATCATAGTATAAATGATCAAGCACCAATTTGGATCAAATTTGTGGCCACTAGTCAACATCGTGGTCCTCAACTAAACCACACTTGTGTGCTCTAGGGAATGGAATCCAGAACTCTAGTGGAGGACAGTGGCTTGTGGTTGATCAGGTCTGATACATCCCTTTCAGTAGATGGCAGTGATGCCACATGCTAATTAGCACATTACAGGGTGCTTCCCTCGGTTATCTTTGTGAATGTAAAAATGGCGTGTGTGAACAATGGGGTCATTTCTGTCGACATTCATCGAGGACCAGGGCGGGTGGAGAGGGTCATTAATAATGAGCCACTGGTTAAAATGTAGCACAGGTTGCTAGTGTCCAAAAGTTGTTACCATCTGATGCCTGTTTTGCGGACTTTGTGAAAAGAGAAGGTCTAGTTCCTAGCTGACGGGTTCCCTCACAATGAAAAACGGTCACCAGTCACTAGAGGTGACTCTAGTCTCGGTGGTAGGGTTACCATCTTTGAAATGGAAAAAAAAAAAAATTTGGCACCCCAGTCCCCAAGGCAAGCCTGCCACAACCTCAACCACAGGGCACCTGCAGAACCCACTCACTCTTCAACAGCCACTTACATTGACTCAAACCCTCTCTGACACACACACAGTGCACTTGGGTGTTGGTGGGAGACAGCTGCTGTATTTTCAACAGTTTTGGTCTGTTATTGCTTAAACTGCGGAAGTGGGAACACTGCTGCGTCTTAAGCTGGACACAGAAACTTTTAACATTAGATATCCTAGTCTATTTTGGTTGTGATGCAAATCTTTAGACCCACATAAAAAAACCCCAGCAGATTAAATTATTTTTCTGTCAACTGGCAAATCCATTTAAAAAAAAAAAAATGGACAGGCCGGTCAAATACCAGCCAAGTAGTAATCCTACTCGGCAGAGAGGCTAAAAGTTGAATGATCCACAGAGACTAAACTACCACCTCGCTCCTTGAGGAAGTCCTTCCAAGTCATGACCACGGGTAGCGTGGGAGCAGCTTGAACTGCTGTTTCCTATGTTGCACCTGTTCTGTATATTGAGGACTTCAGCTTCCTGGGAGGCAGTTTATTTATGAGCACTGTGCTGCTGTGAAGAGAGTATTTGTAGTGAATCCCCTGGGTCTCACGCTCAACAGTAATCAGATCGCTGTTGCTGGTGTAACAAGAGGCAGAAAGAAGGAAGACCACGGATTGGTCACAAACTAGTTGCTGGTGGTGGTGGTACGACAAGAAATAAATAGTGCCAGGGTACCCTGCTTTTTTCAATCTCTCTCTTTTTTGTGCTGTTTTATAGGTGGCGATCAATGGGGCGAATTTGCAAAATGTTTTCATGCTTCTCACTCTGGAGCCTCTGCTGGCCAGAAGCCCTTTCCTAGTTATTCACGTCCGCAGGAGCAACTTGGTTGGTGATGCTTTGAGGGAGCTGAGCATTCATTCAGATATCGATTTGAAAAAGCCTCTGAAAGTAAGATCCTTCAGGAGTTTTTTCCCTAATCTGCCTTATTTTCCTTGTTTCCTTCTCAATTCTCTTGGAAAACTGTTCCCCCCCAATCCCTGCCACCCACACACTGGGCTCATAATAAGGTATATTATCCACCAGAGCTATAACTAGTAGCAGGGCTTCATCCAACCAATGGGGGGATGTGTCTGCCTCCTTCCTGATCAGCAGGCTTTGTTGGGACTGGTTGGCTCAATACCTTTGGACTTCTCCCTCCTTGTAAAAGGACCAGGTAAAGGAAGCCATAGGGAGGGGTTTGGCATCCGATGTGGAGGACTCCGTTGATGTGGCTACTGTATGTGTGTGGATGGGGAGGGGGATGTGAGACCAAAGTGAAAACAAACCCCAGAACAAGTATCTTGTTTTTATACAGTATTATGCAATGTCTTTTTGCCATTTTGCAGGAAGAACTAGGCTGGGTCACCTAATAATGAATGTGTTTTATGTCTGAGAAGATGCCGCAGAGTTCAACAGCTGCTGGTATCCGTGCCCCTAACACTTGTGACCAGGAGAACTGCCCTCCTACTTGTGGGGAGGGAGTGTGCTATGACCTGCAGAGCAGCTTATTATTTATGACTTTTCCTCCACCCTGTCCGCCCAATATGTTGAATCATCCCTTTAAAAAAAAAAAGTCTTCTTAGTACTTTAGCTTTCCCCCTTGCCTCCTGCACTGAAACAGTCCATTGTTGAAGCTGGTGTTGTATGTTACAGTTATTCATTTGCATGACCTGTGATTAAATTTGATGTCTCTAATCTACAGTCACATTCGGTATCCTGATCAGTTACCTGTTTTCATGGCAGGTGATCTTTGATGGCGAGGAGGCTGTTGATGCTGGAGGGGTCACGAAGGAATTCTTTCTCTTGTTGCTAAAGGAACTCCTGAATCCCATCTATGGAATGTTCATCTGCTATCCAGAATCGAACCTGTTGTGGTTTTCAGACACGGTGAGGCACTGACCTGTCTGCATTGTTAGCACACACGTGCTACATTGAAGTTAGTGACAAAAGCTATGTGAGAGAAAGTAAGCTTCCTCTCGTTTTTTTCCCATGATGCTAATTGATAAGTGTGGAGCAATTGGACGGTGTGTATTGTGAAAATAGTAAATCAGACGGTGCTAAGAATAATTGTAGTATACACATGAGAATATCCCATTCGGATGGTTGCAAAGTTTAAAAATGTGTGCAACGCTATTGTCACTGACACACAAATCTCAAACCAAACAGCAATGAAGACGGACGTGAAATACATCAATAGCGACTTGTGTGCTCCTGGATAACAATGCCGTTATGCATGACTTTTAAATGAAAATAGGCTTTTTTGTTTGGATTGAAACATTGTCCTGCAGTGTTTGGAATGGAAACATTGTGGCCTTGGGAACCTGGCTCTTCTCTCATTAGGATCCAACTTCAGGGATGTGCAAAAGGCATAACAGATTAAAAGTAATTCGGCTGTAACAATCTAAGGTGGTGATTCGGCTGAGGCTCCAGTCCTGCCATGAGCTCTGTGTGGACTGGGGGTTCTGCTCACAGGGAGCTCATGGCAGGAGTGGAGCCTACAAGTGGTATTTTTACATCTGTCCCTCTTAAATATCTGGGGCCAGTTCATTAACAATACAATTATTAATAATGACTTACAGTAACATTTACTGGATGGGCGGTGCTGTCCAAACAGTCAAGGAGCACAGTCTCGGCTCTGAGACGTTCACAGTCGAAGGCCAGATTTTCAGAAGAGCTCAGCTTCCATTTAGGCAACCAACTGAAGTGGCTGTGTTTTCAGACAAGCTCCACATCTCTACGGCAGCTGCTTGGGGGCCGAAAATCAGAATCCAAATTGTGATGCTGCAATATGTTTATATCTGCAAGGGGAATATACGTTGGTGTTCCATTAAGCTGCACAATGAATTTTGTTCTAACTGTGACTTCCCTATGTGTTCGAAGTGTTTTGTAGAGCACAACTGGTTTCACTTGATCGGCATAGTGTGTGGACTTGCTATATACAACTTCACTGTGGTGGACCTCCATTTCCCGTTGGCGCTGTACAAAAAACTATTGAATGTGAAGCCCTGCTTAGAAGACTTAAAGGAGCTGTCCCCTACAGAAGGAAGGTATAATGCTGAAGGACTATCTAGGCTGCTGCTCTGACCTTCTAGTGGGGACTGGGAGGGGAAGGTGTTCATCTGAGAACAACGTATGTTAAACTGGTTAATGTTAGTTAAATAAATGACCTGCTCACTCGATCAAGTAATTAATTCTAGGGGCCCTGATCCACCAAAGTGCTTAAGTACATGCTTTATTCTAAGCACCTAGGAGTCCCATTGAAATCAGCGTACCCCCTCACGTGCATAAGTGGCTGACTGAATCTGGACCAGAGTGGAGTAGAGTCGTGGGGGAGGCTGCTTGTCTTTTGGAGCTTTCAGCAGCCACATGGGCATGTAGTGGGCTGCAGGTCGGGGTTCAAGAGATCTGGGTTCTAGTCCGTGCTCTGCTGCTGACCTGCTTGGTGACTTTGGACAGGTGACATTGCCTCTCTCTGCCTCTGTTTCCCCCATTCCCACCTTGGTCTGACTTATCAGTTAAGACTGTAAATTCTCCACCGTACAAGCTCTGTCATCGGTTCATTGCTTGGCCTGATGGGGCTCTGATCTCTGTCGGAGCCACCGTGAGCGACAGTGATGATAACCGGCGAGAAAGGCAATCAAATGTCAAAGAGGAATGGCTTCTCCTGAACACAGGGAAACTGAAGAGTTACTCGCTTAGCATTGTTTTTCCCTAGCTCTCACAGGTCGCAAGGTTCAGGTCACATGAGATTCTTGGTCTGATTATCATCTGACATAGATTGCTATGTGATTTTTTTTTTTTTAGCTCAGAGTTGAACCATATTTAAAAAAAGAATTGATGGGGCAAAGCGAGAGGCCAGGAAGGTACAGGAGTCCTGCAGCCACATTTTGGGAGACATTGGTGGGACTCTAAAAAAGGGGACTATGGATGTGCCCCCCCTTCTGCAGCCCTCACACCTATCTTGTGGTCCTTCAGAGCTAGAAATCAAATGCTTTTTCCAAGCAGTGGGCCACTAAACAGGATCCTTGTTCTTGTCAGACACAGACTAGATTGAGAATTTGTAGTGCTTCATTTATTCTAATGCACACGTGCATATGGGAATGCATGTCGTTGGGCTCCTTTACACAACCCAGAATTTCTCTCTATCTTGTCCTGTTACTCTGACTTATATTATTTACATTCACTGCTGGGGTTTTTCCTTTAAACATAAAGCACAGAGAGTATTGCCTCTTGGTTGTCTGATTTGTCTCCTTCTCCTCCCTCCCCTGCCTGTCTCATAGGAGTCTTCAGCAGCTTTTAGATTATCCTGGGGATGATGTAGAAGAAACGTTCTGCCTGAACTTTACAGTAAGGCAAATTAATACCATTTGTCAGTGATGTGATTTGTTGTGTGGGTGCCCACAGAGGCCACAGACACGTGTGGGTGCTGTGGGTTAGACACAAACATGCCCATAAAATAAGTGCTGCATATTGCAGAAATGTTAAACTTCCTTGCGGGTATTCTACTGTTCTTGTGTATGTAGTCAAGAAGACTGCGCTGCTCAGTGGATTAGTTTTCGAAAGTGCTCAACTCCCGTTTTCAGAAATCACCTAGGCACTTAGGAGCCTGTGTCTCAGTGACTTTCAGTGAGGTGTAGGCTCCAAAGTCCCTCTTGAAAATGGGGCTTTGGCTCCAAAGTCACTTGGTTGCTGTTGAAAATGTTACCCCATACCCATCTTTTTTTTTTTTTCTTTTTCTTCTTCTCATAGACTTTAAGGTCAGAAGGGACCATAATGATCATCTAGTCTGACCTCCTGCCACTTCTATCATTCTGTTGTTGGTAAACAGTGCAGACTCCTTTTGTGACTTCAAACATTCACAGGGAACGATATTTTACTATTGTGTCAGACCTTCCTTGAGCCAAAACGCTGCACTACATCACGAGGACACTGGCTTTGGCAGGCTGAAATAGTGAGGCTCCAAAAGATTTTCTCCCAGCTAGTAAATGCAATTGATGGCCTCTGCAGTGGGGTGGAAATCCAGGAGAATCTCTGGTTTCTCTGCCTGGTCGCTCAGTCTGAAAACATGCCCCCAGAGGCACCTCGCTCACTTCAAAGTTACGATACCGTGGCAGGCCCCAAGCTGAGATGGTCTCACATGGAACAGGATGTTCTGGGTAGGCCCTAAATTTACAAGTAGGTGCTTATCACTGTCCTGTTTTATACAGAGGAGTATCTGGGGTGGAGATGGATGCATTAGTCCAACATCTGAGCACACCTGTTACTAGCAAGAAGACACGAAAGCTCCTTTCCCAAGGGGCTCTGATATAGCTGATATGGCCAGGTATTGGGTTGGATATTGTGAAGAAATCCTTCCCACCTCACTGTGCTCTGGGAAGGCTAGACTTCATCTTGTTTGATAAGGGAGGGCTTTTAAAATAAAGCTGGCTTATAAATCTTGGCTCTAGAGTGAACCAATTCTGGGTCTAACACAGCCACACCCAGGTCTGTGCTACCATTCAGGGTGAAGTCAGGAGGCTTTAGCACTGATCCCATCCGCCTATAAAAAGAAAAGTTAAAATAACCTTATATAACTTCCCCCAAGCGCTTTTGTGCCTGGTTTCAGGCAAAAGGACATCTTTACTGCTGTGTTGATGCCTTGAACTGGATTCATAATTTTCCCCAAATGGTCTGAAGGAGATCTGTTTTGTGGCTCATTTGTACTGGCTGGCTAAAAATCTGGCTCATAATATTTTATCCATGAGACACTATAAAATAATATGATTATGTATGAAGTGCCTTTGTACTGCTGGCATTCTAGCTCTGTTATGAACAGAGACAAAAGTGGCACATCAGACTTATCAAGTGATCTGGTAATCTACTGTGAGAGTAGATTAATTGAGCATCCTGCATTGCCATTATTCAAAGGGGACTTTGTTGGTGCCAATACACATGGCATTGGTTAAATGTAATTTTTAGCAGTTATCAATCTCTTGTTTTTCAGCATGCGGTTGACTTAATAGGGTGGCTTGGTTCTCTTTTAGGTTTGCATTTGGCTTTGATTGCAAATCATGATCTAAGAGCAAATGTTGAGTATGAAAAATGATGCAAGCAGAGAAGGGTGTCTGTGTATTTTTTTTTTCTAACTCATCATATCTGTTTTCCCAGCCTTCTTCCCTAGCCCTTTGTGTGTCAGTAGCTATGCACTTTACCTGGAGCGAGTAAAAGAACCCTGCACCCATCCTGCAAGCTTGTATGGTGACACACACAATGGGAAAACAACTTTTTTATTTTTTTTTAAACATAGATATGTAGAGAAAGCTATGGCGTGACAGAGCAGAAGAAGCTAATACCAGAAGGAGACAAAATTACTGTGCAGAAGGACAATAGGTGAGTTACTATCATTGAGCAGCCATGGCAACCGAAACGCTTTTTTGGTGATGCCTACATCAGTGGGCACATGGATGATCACGAACTGAGACAGGGGATAGATAGGTTAACGCAGGGGAAATGTTGGGCCAGACTTTGAAAAGATGTCAGGACCCAGTGGGTCCCATTTCAGCACTTAAATAAGTGACCAGATTTTCAAAAGAGTTTAACTTCCTACCCCTTATTGTTAAGGCCTGGTGAATGACCCTCACCCCATCTCACCTGCACTCTCTGTATAAGGCCCTATCCATCACTTAAGCCCATAATGCAGCTGCTAATCTCCCTTTGCAACTGATTATGGGGGAGACCAAATACGAAAACACGCATCAAGACTGTAACAGAAGACATAGACGTCCATATAAATGGCCCTTCCAAAGGCCTGAGCCAAAGATGACACTTGAAATCGTCCGTTCCAGAGTGGAGGGATTCTCTGCAGAGAAGGCTGC